TACCTCTCCTTTGTCATTCTATTCTATCAATGTTCTGTTCTCAATTCAATTTCGATTTGCTGCCTATTCCAACAATGACCTGGGTGGCTTCCGTGCCATGACCAGGCAGTTAGAAGTGGAATGCTTTGTCAGAAAAGTCATGACGAACATGCCAGCTGAAATTGCAAGCGATAGGTAAATTACCACAGTGGGGAGCAAATGCTATACATTTGGGGAAGTACACAAAGCGATGGGAACCTCCTTGGAGAAAGAAAGTATTGGCTTGTCTCTTCCCGCTCAGAGATTATAGTTTCTATTCTCCACCTCCCTCTTGTGGTGCTGGACAATTGCATCTATCACCTGGGCCACAGTGGTGGTCCCTAGCTCCCCTCCTCTGTCATCTCTCCTCCAACCACCCCCTAAACAGCAAGCATTAGCATTTCAATCAATTTTCTCCAGCCAGGAGACTGGCCATTCACATACAGAGCTTTTCTCCTGTCAAGGCGAGATTGAGATGTCACCTTAGAGAAAACTGGTTCTGTGGGCATTTCAGTGAGGGGAGGAGAAAGTAATTAATATGAGGGTTTTTTTTTTTAAACTGCAGTTGTTCTTGTCCTACTCTTCAGCAGGAAATTGAGAGATGGTATAATAGTATAATAGCAGATTAAGCCAGGGCTTTATTTTCAGACTTGGGCTCCAGTCTCAGCCAAGCCAACTACTAGTTGTATGACCTTGGCAAGTCATAACCTCCCCAAGCATCAGTTTCCTCATGTGTACAAATGGGTCAAAAATATTCATTTTTGAAGCATTTACACTGTAAAAAATGAAAGTAGTAGGATGTATATTCTCTAAAACAGTGCTCCCACACAATGATTGCACAATAACAGCAAGAAGTATCTAGAGACAGCCTTCGCGGAGAGTCGCCGCGGTTTCCTGCTTCAACAGTGCTTGGACGGAACCCGGCGCTCGTTCCCCCCCCCCCCCCCCCCGCTGCTCCCGCCCACAGCACAGCGCCGTCCGATCGCCCCCAGCTCGCCGCCGCCATGACGACCGCGTCCACCTCGCAGGTGCGCCAGAACTACCACCAGGACTCAGAGGCCGCCATCAACCGCCAGATCAACCTGGAGCTCTACGCCTCCTACGTCTACCTGTCCATGTCTTACTACTTTGACCGTGATGATGTGGCTTTGAAGAATTTTGCCAAATATTTTCTTCACCAATCTCATGAGGAGAGGGAACATGCTGAGAAACTGATGAAGCTGCAGAACCAACGAGGTGGCCGCATCTTCCTTCAGGACATCAAGAAACCCGACCGCGATGACTGGGAGAACGGGCTGAATGCAATGGAGTGCGCCTTACACTTGGAAAAGAGCGTGAATCAGTCACTACTGGAGCTGCACAAACTGGCTACTGACAAAAACGACCCCCATTTGTGTGACTTCCTGGAGACTCATTACCTGGATGAGCAGGTGAAATCCATCAAAGAACTGGGTGACCATGTAACCAACTTGCGCAAGATGGGGGCCCCCGAATCTGGCATGGCCGAGTATCTCTTTGACAAGCATACCCTGGGAGACAGTGACAAGAGCTAAGCTAAGCCTTAGGCTGGCTACTCATAGCCAGGGGGTGACTTTCCTGGTCACCAAGGCTGTGCATGCATGTTGGGGTTACCTTTACCTTTTCTATAAGTTGTACCAAAACATCTACGTATAGCTTTCATTTGTACCATTCCTTCAAATAAAGCAATTTGGTACCCGTTGTTAAAAAAAAAAAAAAAAAAGAAGTATCTAGAATGCCATGCCAGGAAAGGAATAGATGTCAGTAATTACCCACGCCCTTGGATGGGAGTGGGGAGTTGGGGCGAGGAGACCTGGTTGTGAGCCCAGAAGCTTGGCTCTTGTAAAGTCCCCTGAGCTGGGATTGGTTGGGTTTGGAGCTGCTGAGTTGTCACATGGACACCTGATTGGCTTTGTTTTCAAACTTGTTGCTGAGATTGCCAATGAAAATAGACATTTTCCAACTCCTACGCCCAAACCTGAGACATGTCACTTGGGGGAGACTGATAGGCAGAGAAAAAGAGACTGTGCTGGCAGACACTAGAGGAAGACCAGACATTAAAAGGCAGTGAGGTGAACAGAAAGTAGAAAAATCACACGAGGTTCAAGGTAAATAGTCCTGTGCAGCCTGTGTTGGGATCAGGCAAGGCTGGTTCAATTCCTGCCCTCCCTCTAACTGGTTGTGGGACTACTCACTGCCTCTGTGACCTCGGGATGATGGTGCAGATGTATCTGCCTCTTAGGATTATTCTGAAGGTGAGAGGAGATGATAGTTGTGAACACACTGGAGCAATAGATGTCCTGTAGAAAGAGTTTTTGCATTATTCATAAAAGATCCAGATGCATAGCTTCTTCCTGACTTTACACATAATCTAGGTTTGTGGGTTTTCTCTATGAGAAAGTGCTGTTCATCCATAAATGCAGATATGTTTTAATGTGATGTTGAACCTGTTAGTGACTTTAAAAGTCAGTGGAGATGATGAAAAACAGGGAGAAATGGGGAGAAGAGTGCAGAACATACTTTAGTAAATATTTTATAATTTATCAAATGCATGTCTTTTGTCAACCATTTATTGAGCACCTGCATTGTGAGGGTGCCAAGTGGTGGCACTGTACACAGTGGCAAACAAGGGGCATGGCCCTTGGCCTGGGATGTCAGTAGGCAAAAAGGTAATATCCAGTGAGCTCCTTTATTCCATCCCCACCACCCATTCCCCATCAGCATAGCCTGAGCATCACCTGAATCTGCCCCATTTTCAGATCACACATGGAAAACTAGCCTTCAAAGTCACTTTATTTTTTATTATTTTTTTAAAGATTTATTTATGCATATAAGAACTGGGGTACAGGCTAAAGTGTGTGGTGGGGAGAGGATTCACTAGAGACAGAGTGGGGGGCAGAACAGGCAGACAGACTGAAAGCACTGCTGAGGGGAGCAGGGGGCAAGACAGGAGAGGTCTGCCATGCCATGTGGGTTGCTCCCTGGCCAGGGCTCGAACTTGTGCTGCAGTGGCTGCAGATTGCTCCATAGGTTGCGTCTTAACCCCTTGTGCCACCAAAGGCCCTTCAAAGTCACTTTAAATACTCGCTTACTCAGCTTATGTGGAGCCATCGTGAATTCCCAGCAGTTTTCCTACTTCTCTGGTCCAGTTGCTCTCACTCCTCTGGGTGACATTTTGGGTTCCTCCTCTCTTCTCTGTCTTCCAACGCCTCACCCCCATCTTGTCTTTCCACTGATGTCTTTCTTCCTATTTCCCTGGGAAGATTAACACCATCAGCAGAAAACTTGCAAAAGTTCCCGCCAGCAGCAGCAGCAGCACCACCACCACCACCACCACCACCAGCAATAACAACAACAAACAAAACGCCCAGCAGAATCTCAGTTCCACATGCCCCCCGGCTCCCACATGCGCTCTCTTCTCAGTCCCCTCCCAGGTCTTCTAAACAGTTGTTAGTGCTTCTTGCCTCAGTTCCTCACTTCCCACTCTTCAACCCGTGCCAATTTGCTTTCCAGCTTCTTAACTCCACTACAATAGCCTTTTCTAAGGCACTAGTAAACATTTTTCAGTTTCTGTCTCACGTTACCTCTTTGTAGCAGTTGATGCCAGTGATCACTGCCTCACCTTTGAACATTCTTGGTCCCCTGGGGCGGGGACACTGCTCACTCCTAGCTACCTCTGGAGGGATTCTTCTTCACGCTCCCTGCAGGCCCAGCCTCTGTTGAACAGATAGTTACTAGGTTCAGTCTTCATTCCTCTTCTCATCTGCTGTGACGCACACTCTCCCAGGGTGCCCATCCTGCCCGTCATTTCCATTGCTTTGAATAGCATCTGTTTTTCATTAACATTTTCATTAACATTTTCATTCAGTAGCATACATCCTTTCACTAACTGTGACTTAAGGTAAGGATAGATATTTAGTGGACCCAAGACATGTACTCATATATTAAAATAAATAGATAAAAAGCAAACAACCTGACTCGTATGACTCCTATCTAGTCTATTCTGCTTCATTTTAAAGAAAAGACTGGTCAGGACCCATTAATAGTTTTTGTGGCTCACCAATGAGTTGCCACACATTAGGCTGCTGGAACAAAGGACTATAGATGGGGTGACTTAAAAGCAACAGAAACTTATTCCTCATAGGTCTGGGTCTCACAAGTTTAAGTCAGGTTGTCAACATATTTGGGTTCTGGTGAGAGCCCTCTTTGGGGTTTCAGGCTGCTGTCTGCTGGTTTTATCCTCACATGACAGGAAGAGAGCAACATGGGGAGCACTAACCCCTTCCAGAAGGACTCTACCCTCATGACTGAATTACCTCCCAACGCCCCAACTCCAAATGTCATCACATTGAGGGGCAAGATTTCAATGTATGAATTTAGGGGGGATGCAAACATCCAGTCCTTTGCATATACATTAACGAACCCCTAAATTTGATCTTCAGCTCGCACCTCTCTATTGGGTTCTTTACCCAAGTGTATGGAATCACTGCTTTTCCACATCCTATTATGTCTCCACCTGAATCTGTCTAAAGGTCCTCATTCTCAACAGTCGAAGACCAAACTCATGATCCACCCCTTCCAGTGGAAGCCTCTGTCTGGTTTGCATCTAATTTTCTGTTTTCCTTTTTAAAGTTTTCTTGATTTCAATAAATAGTATAACAGTCCATCTAGTTTTTTAAATAAAAATCTTGTTTTCCTTGAAACTTCTTTCTTCTGCTGTGTCTGTGTCAAATCCATGGAAAATTCCTATTAATTTGGTTTCTAAATATCTTCTTATCCTCTCTACTGCTATCTTACCAATCTTCCAACATCCTGTTCCCATACTATTGGCCTCTCAGCCTCTTCACATGGTTTCCACATTGTAGTTAGAGCCACCTTCTACACAAGGAAATATGATCATGTGACATCCAACCTCTAACCTGCCTCCTACTTACAACTTGCTTTTATTTTTCCATTGTTGCAACAAAAATATGGAAGCTTCATGAATTTGCATGTCATCTTTGCACAGGAGTTGTACTAATCTTCTCTGTATCACTCCAATTTTAGTATATGTGCTGCCAAAGTGAGCACTCCTACTTACAGCTCTTAAACAGCTTTTTTTTTTTTAAATCCCTGGGATTAAATAAATTGTATTGTTAATATTATATTTTCAATTACTTTTTAATTGATGTAATGTTTGTTTACCAGACTGTATATGACTTAGGGATATGTATAGGTTCACATCTCTCCAGATGTTACCACACAACACCCACCACCAAGACCCCCACAGTTCTCTACTGCACAACACTGTTCCACCCCAACTTTCTCTCCACTCTCCATCTCTCTGGTAGTCACAATTCTACAGTCAGATTTCTAGGATTTGTTTTGATTTAGTTTTGTCTGTTCCTTTGTTTTTGTTTCTCTATATTCCACACATGAGTGAAATCATCTGGTGTTTGTCTTTCTCATGCTGACTTATTTCACTTAGCAGAATCCTCTCCAGCTCCATCCATGTTGTTGTTGAAAATGGCAAAAGCGCTTTTTTTTTTTTTTTTTTTTTTTTTTTAAATTTTTTTTTTTTTTTTATAGAGGCATGTTTTATTTATTTATTTGTTTGTTTGTTCGTTTGTTTTGTTTATACATGCACTGGGGACAGTCAGAAGCGCAGGAGGGTGAGAGAATTCACCAGAGCCAGAGAGGGGAGCAGAGCAGGCAGAAGGACCGAAGTACACTGCTGAGGGGAGCAGCGGGCGGCAGGAGAGGTCTGCGCGCCACGTGGGACCCTCCTCCGGTGGCCGGGGAGCAGCCGGGGATCGAACCGGCGCTGCAGAGGACGCGGGCAGCTTCGCAACCCAGCGCTCAACCGCTGCGCCACCGGGGAGGCCCAGCGCTTTTTTTTTTTATCTGAGCTCTTTTTTTTTTTTAAATTCCATTACGTATATATATGCCACAACTTCTACTCTTCTTTTGTTGGGGACTTTGGTTGTTTCCATGACTTGACTGTTGGACATTGTGCTGCAATGAACATAGAAATGCATTTATCCCTATGAATTGATGTTTTTTATTCTTTGGGTATCTATCTAGAAGTGGAATATTTTAATATTTTGAGAAACCTCCAAACTTTTTTTTTTTAAGATTTCTTTATTTATGCATGCAAGAACTGGGGTACAGGCCAGAGGTGGGGGGGGGGGTTGATAGGATTCACCAGCGACAGAATGGAGAGCAGAACAGGCGGATCTACTGAAATACACTGCTGAGGGAGCAGCAGGTGAGACAGAAGAGGTCTGCTGCGCCCTGTGGGTAGCTCCCTGGCTGGGGATCGAACTTGCGCTATACTGACTATGGATAGCCTCACAGTGCTGTGTCTTAACCCCTTGCACCAACAGGGAGGGAGGCACCAAACTGTTTTCTATAGGGTATGGGCCAGTCTATATCCCCACCAACAGTGTATAAGAGTTCTTTTTTCCCACATCCTCACCAACACTTTTTGTTTCTGGCTTTATTGGTGTGGACAATTCTCACTGGTGTGAAGTGTTATCTCATTGTGGTTTTGAGTTCCCTGAGCAATGCTGATGAGCACTTTTTTGTGTGCCTGTTGGTCATCTACATGTCTTCTTTGGAAAAGTGTCTATTTAGCTCTTCTGCCCACTATTTGGTTAGTTTATTTGTTTTGTTTTGCTTGAATTGTATGAGTTCTTTGTAGATCTTGGATATTAGCCCCTCGTCGGATGTACACATGAATATTTTCTCTCATTCAGTAAGGTGACATTTTATTTTAGTGATTTTTTTCCCACTGTGCAGAAGCTTTTTCATTTGATGTAGCCACATTTATATGGTCAATTAACTTTTGAGAATGGAACCAAGAGTATACAATGGAGAAGGAAAAGTGTCTCCTCCTGGGATTAAATCAAGTTCTTTAACCTTGTCTACAAGGCCCAGGCTGGGGTTCCCTGGCTAGCCCCCCAGTCACATGAGGTTCACTCCCCACTCCATTCTCTGCTCATCTGCCATCCTGACCTTGAGCACATGTTGTTCCATCTTGCTGAAATGTCTTTTGGTACGTTTTTTCCTTCTGCCTGGAAATCTACCCTCTTTCCTTTGCCTGACTAACCCTTACTAATCCTTCAGATGCTCACTGAAGCATCTCTTCTCAGGGAAGCCTCCCCTACCCCAGTCCAGCACCATCTTCTTAGCTATATTCTGAAATAGAATTTCTTCTTAGTAATCATGTCACTTTGCATTATGTAGCCACGGTTGTGATTTTTAAAGAAATTAATGTATGCTTTCTTACCATTACACTAAAAGCTCTGTGAGAAACAGGCTATATTAGACTCTGTTCTCAGCTGTATCCCCTGGGCCTAGCATAGTGTCTGACACTAAGAAGGTGTTAAAAATATTTTTAAATGAGCAACTGAACACATTTATAATATGTGCTATGAAAGAAATTACCAGGGTGCATTGACAGAAAATATAGCTGAGTAGGGTAGGCAGGGAAGTCTCTCTAAAGAATGTTGAACTGCTTTCAGAAGGATGAAGGAGGCAGCCATGGGGAAGGTGGGTGAATGTGTCTCCAGGCAGAGAGATGAGTATGCGCAAAGGCCATGAGTTCTGCATGCTGAAGGAGAAAGGGCATCGCGGCCTGGAAAATAGTTGGGGAGAAGATGCTCACAAGATGACTTTGAATCATTAGACAAGGCCCAGATCAGTTAAATTGTTTGTGTTTTATTTAAGATACAATCAGGAGCCAATTGAAGGCTTTAAGGAGGGTGTCCCAGTACCTGATTTCTGCAGAGATGGTAGATTGGAGGGGTGCAAGAAAGAAGCAGCCTGAATAGAGAGCTATCCAGGGGAAGGATGTTAAAAATATGGATCAAAATATTTGGCAAGGAATAAAAGTGAACTGAGGCAAGAAATATTGGGGATGGGGACAGAAACCACTGAATATGGTAATGGATTGAATTGGAAGCAGAGAGAAAGAAATAAGGTGGTGGCTTAGTTTTTTCCTATTATAGCAATCATGGGGGGAGCTGTAAGATTATAGAGATGGTGAAGACTGAGTATTTGAGGGGAAACATCAAGGATTTACTAGTAGTTTCATTAATTGGAGATACCTGAAACAATTTATGTGTACATTCCAAGGAGGCAATTGAGTATGTGAATCTGGAACTTAGAGGAGTGACTGGATTATAGATCGAAATTGGGGTTATCAATTTAGATCTAGATGGTACTTACAGGAGTGGGAATGCATATAATCATCCAAGGAGAGTGTAGAGTGATGAGTAGTAGGCTAAGTCCTGGGAAATGATAACATTTGGAGGTCAAATGAAGGAGAGATATTTGCAAAGAAGATAAAAGTGACCAGAGTGTGGGCCTCCCTGGTGGCACAGCAGTTGAGCACTGGGCTGCGAAGCTGCCAGCAGCCTCTGCAGTGCCGGTTCAATCTCCTGCCGCCGGTGAGGGTCCCACATGGCGCAGACCTCCTGCCGCGCCTACTGCTCCCTGCAGCAGTGTACTTTGTCAGTCTGTCTGTTTTGTTCCCCGCTCTGGCTCTGGTGAATTTTCTCACCCTCCCGTGCTTCTGACTGTACCCGGTGCTTGTATAAATTAAAAAAAAAAAAAAAAAAGTGACCAGGGTGGAAGAAGGAGATCCAAGAAGGCAGACTTGTGTCCTTAGAGAAGACATCATTACTTCACTGAATGGGGCTGAGGGTCCAAGGGCAGTGTTGTAGGTATTGGATCTGGTCACATAGACAAACAAATTGCTCTGGCAGGTTCTCCATAAGGAGGCAGGGGCAAAGGGAAGGGGCTCTTACTGTAACCTGGTGAGAGAGATGGTGGGGTCTTAGTCAGAAATACTTTTTTTTTTTTGTGGGACCCTTGCCGGTGGCCGGGGAACTGAACTGGCGCTGTAGAGGCTGCGGGCAGCCTCGCAGCCCAGCGCTCAACCGCTGCACCACCAGGGGAGGCCCCTTAGTCAGAAATATTAATGGTGCAATTAATGAGAACTGGTTGGATTTAGGCATGGATCAACTGGGAGGAAAAAATATATGAAAATAAGGTTAGTTAACATTTATGGAGCCATGCCACGCGCCAGTTGCTATCCTAAACACTTTTCATGCACGATCTCCTTTAATTCTCACGATGACTCTGTAAAGAAGGCATCCTTATTCCCAGTTCACATTTCGGGAAATGGAAGCTTATGAAGGTTAAGTCCCATAGCCAAGGTCATACAGTGCAGCAGTTGTCACTGAAACCCAAGTTGTCTTGATACCAGAACCTGTGACCGTGGCTTCTGTATTGAAACAGTGTCTCTGACTGGTCAGTGCAGTGAGGAGATGGGGCAGCCTTTGAGGGGCTCTGTCACAGCTGTTGTCATAGTTATTTGGCTCTGCCACTGCAGAGGTAGACAACACCTAAGTGGATGAGGTTAGTTGTATTCCCATGCAACTTTCTTTATGCTCGTTGACATTTATATTTCAGGTAGTTTTCACATGTCGTGAAATATTGGTCTTGTTCTGATCCTCACCACCATTTAAATATGTTTAGATTCAGGTCGGCAGAACATCACCCCAAATAGTACCAGTGCCCTCAAGCTCCCTGGAGGCCTCCAAGACCCTCCTTCTCTATACTCCTCAGGTGGCAGCTGAGACTAGCAGAGCGCAGAGATGCTTGGACATTTATCACCATCTGTTGATGAGGAACTTAGGGGATGTGCATAGTAATGTATGTAAATCCTTCAGGTTTTAGGGAAGAAGGCCCAGGTGGGAAGAGCTCCTGCACAAAAAAGCCATGTGATAAGACCTTCAAAAAAGGGAGGAAATTTGGAGACCAGAGTGACCCTTGGGTAGAGAGATCAGGGAAGACTTCCTGGAGGTGGTGGCATTATTGTCACTCTTAGTTAAAAATGGGAGAAGACGAGGAAAAAAACTCCATGCCAGGAGTATGTGGCCATTTTTGTGGAGGCAGCCTCTAAATTAGCACCAATGCAAGCAATCTACTAATTGCATAAATAACGATTATTTCTCAGGCAGCCAAAAAATCCAGCCCTAGCAGATGTTGTCAAATGTATCCATTTTGTCCTGTAATCTTTAAATAATCTTTTCATAAAGTACCATCTGAAGTAAAGACCTAATCCATCCTCCCCAGTAGGAGGGGAATTATCTTTCTGATGGTATAAAATAATCCTTTTAGGTGACATGAAACCAACTCTCAGGCTAAATCCCTCCTTTTTCCTCCCCCACAGGTGCCATCATGACTGTTAAGAACTGCAGTTAAGAAATAAGCAGGAAGACTGGAGGGGTTATTTTGAGCCTCAGAGAGTATTAAGTTGGAACTGAATCTTCTACAATGACAGCTGGGTCCGACTGGCTAGGCTGGGACTCTTGGGGCTCTAGTTGGAAGGGGGCCTCTTTGTCTGGGGAGGAGCCAGGATCCCAACTCACCCTGGAGGTGCTGTCCTAACAGGCCCCTGGGAATGGAGGTCAGGTGGGAAGAGCTGTTCAAGGCAGGTGGGGAGAGAGCAAGAGTGTAGGAATCCAGCATTGGAGGTATGGCATGAGAGGTTATGCCCTTATAAAGCTCTCCTTTGAGGGGATGTCATTCCAGCTGGTGAGTTCAAGGTGTGACCTTGATGCTCATTGTGTGAGGTTAGGACATTGCTTCTTTCCTGTTCAGAATCTGTCCAATGGGAGCAGCACCAGGAAAGCCCCTTTATAATATCCATGTGGGAGAAAGCTGTTAAGCAGTAAACAGGAGCTTCTGGAATAGGAAAGAGATGAGTGAGTGTGCAAACCCCTGGAATCCCTGATCCTCTTCCTGTTATGCCAGATAAGGATCCATTTTGCAGGGTGATTTGATTGAGTAGGACAGAAGAGAGTCTCCGAGTAGATCCCACCATTAGTTGCCTTCTTTTTCCCTGGTCCTGTCATGCAAATGAGTGCTCTGCCTTTAAGTAGCCTGTCTATTGTTCTGGCTCCTCAAGCCAAGTGCCATGTAGTCAATTGGCTATTTCCTGCCACAGGATTCCTGAGCACCTGCCAAGTGTCTATCAGGCGCTGTGGGACTCCAGGGGACTCCAGTGAGAAAGGTTTCTCATTGAGCTCATCAGGAACACACAGACAGTGGGGGAGACACACCTGTATCCCCAAAGGGATCCCACCCTCATGATGCCACAGAGCACAGGTTTGCGTCATTGTTGAATGATGAAAAAGGCTGATGCTCATGATTGCGGCTGTTTTCAGTTTTACAGGAGGAGGGAAGGGCAGGAAGGTCGAGGCTGCAGAAGGGGTGATGGCAAAATGGAGATGACAGCAGCAGAGACAGCTCTCGACAGGTGGGTGCTGATGGGAGTGTGTGTGTGTGTGTGTGTGTGTGTGTGTGTGTACGTGTACATGTACTGGAGGAGGAACAAGGGCATGGAAGGGGTAGAGCATTCCAGAAAGAGGGGGCAGTGAGTGCAGACCCAGGTCAGTGCTCCCTGGTCCATGTGGCCGGACGGGGTGTGAGGTCCGTGGGCAGAGCCAAGGCTCTGGGCAGTTGACAGGCTCCAGAATGCAGCAGCATCTCATGGTGTCTAAGGAATTAGATTTTATCCTGCAGCATTTTGGAAAACCTTCTGAACAGGGGTGTGACATTACCAGATTTTAGAAAGACAATCCTGGTGCAGCACGGATGGGAGGGCCGAAAATTGGAAACAGGGAACCACGCTCTACAAAAGACTGTGATAATCCAGACCACGGATGATGATGAGGGCCTGTGTGAGGGAAGGCGGCGTGGATGAGGGCGAAGTGGATTAAAGGAGAGAACCAGCCTGGTGACTGTTTGGGGGTGTGGAAGTAAGAGTGAGGGAGGTGTGGAACGGGGTACCCAGAGGTTTTCAGTTTGGGTGAGAGGGTGAGAGATGGTGTGAGCAATCACAGCAAGAGAATAAGGGGAAGCACAGAATTGTGGATTGTGCTTGGGTCTGTGAGTTGGAGGATTTCTAGGAAGAGGGGTCCAGTTGGTGGTGGCAAATGGGTTTGAAGTTTAGGAGAGATGTTCATTAATGTGCGACACAGATACTTACCAAGTGTTATGTGCCTCAAGTAAGCTTCCGGTGTCGGAAATACGAATATGAGGGACAAAGTCTTTGCTTTCACATGGTACTCATTCCAAGTTGGGGAAATCATAATAATAAATCAGTGACCAGATGCAAAATAACAGAATACATGATAGAGAGTGACTGGGCCGGAGCCCAGTGTGCTCGGTGTTCAGGGAAGTCATTTCTGAAGAAGGTACTGTTCTAACCAAAATCTGAATAATGAACAAGAACCAGCCTTGGGAGAGCCTCAGGGTAAAGCAGTCCAGGCAGAGGGAACAGCTGAGGCAGCTTCAGGTGAGAACAAGCTTGGTATATTCAAGGAAGAGAAAGCACACCAGGGGGTGGGGTTGCAGTGGGTTGTAGATGGCAGGTGGGACAGGAGGCTAGAGAAGTCACTGGGCGTCCAATTGTTATAGGACAGGGAGAGGGGCAGCCCAAACCCCGCAAACCTGCCTATACTAAATGGGTTCTGCCATCCGCCGCATCAACACAAAACATAGGAGACTTTAATGGGAAGGAACTTTAATAAAACTAGGAAACAATACAGGTGAGGCGAAGAGTCTAGTTTCTAAATGAAGCATCCAGAGTTACCCGTCCCCTCGTGGGTAAAAGTCCATCCATATGGGATTGGCCCAGAACAAGGCCCCAATGCCTGCTAAAAGTCTAAAGCATCTTCCAGTGGGGACCCACAGAAAAGGGTCACAAACAACCGGACAAGCCCGGAAGGAAAAGAGCAAAATCAACATCAAGATAAAAGCTGCCATTGTCACCTCCCCACGGGTCTCACCCACATCTGTGTCACCCAGCCCACGACCAAAAGACAAGCGCAGTTTCTTCACGTGTCTCTAGGCTCCATGCTCCTCCTCCAGGTCTCCTGGCTCCATCCTGCTTCCTTCCTCAGTCTCTTCTGCAGCTTCTTCTCTTCCTGCTCAGCTCCACCCTCCCTTGGGTGGGGCAGGGAACCTCCCCCTTTCCTGGGGACCACCCTGTTGCACAATCACACTGTGGAAAGTAATCGGTCAGATTAGGCTCAGTTGTATGGTAACGAGTGACCCGCAGAGCTCAGCAGCCTACAATAAAGAAGGTCACTTATGACTCAAGCTACATGTCCACTTTGGAGGGCTACGCTTCTTCACTCCAGGACTCACGTAGATGGGACAGCTCCCATCTGGGACATCTCTGGCAGACACATGTTCTGAACTTGAAGGGTGATTTGGCTTCCCCTGGCCTCCCAGGCGCTCCCTCTGGAGTGCTATCCGGCACTCTGATGGTTTTGGACCAGGGACCCTGAACACAGAGTCCCAATGGAGAGGGCTTTTGTTAGGCTGGAGGTACTGAAATAACTCTGGTGCATGCTTTCTCCCCCTTCCCGCACTGGATTATCATAAAAGAACAATTCAGTTCCTGGGCGTGAATCCTTTTTCTTTCCTGGAAAGGAGAGAGAAGACAATGGTTGATGTTCAAGCGGGGGTGGGTCCCCGAGACAGTCTAACTCTTCTACCATGAAACTGAAAAGGAAAGGCAAAGAAGGAACACTGTGTGGGGGTCCGCAGGACATGGTGGACCGGGGACCCAAGCCCACTGCTAGGGAAGTCGGGCTCTTCTTACAAATAAGCTGGTCCAAACCATCAAAGTCAACCTACCTCCTTCACTGCCTGGGGCGAGCAGGGCGTGAGCAGGGCGCTTCCCTTCATTACAATGCAGAAAGCAGCCAGAGGAAGAGGACTTGGATTGTAACTTTTCCTGCCAAAGCTCCACCTTGTGATAAGTCTTTTGTGGCTCCTCAGTGAGTATATGAAATATGCCAGAGGCTCTCAGCAGCAAGGAGGGGGCACATGGCCAAAATATCCAGGACACTGACTTTGCCTCCTGGAGATTTTCTTTGAACACCAAATCTTGGCTTCTATTTTTATAAGAGAACATCCCATTTCGCTAACTAAATTTATAAATATCTTAGGACCCATACTTCTTTCAACCTTCCTACGCTCCTGCCCAGGCCTGTTCCTCCACAGGTCTAGCACAGACCAATCAAAAACAAGTAAAATACCTGTGTGAATGAGCAAGTGAGTGAACAAATGATTTCCCAGGGGGCTTCCCCAGAAACAACACTTGTGATCCATCTCTCCCACTGGCCGCAGTCTCTGCGGTGAACTTTGTACACATATGAAAATGCAGGCATAAGGGACAGAATTTACGACCCTGTCAGAGAGCAGCCACCTAGGCTTTCTGCTTCTGTTCTTGCTGCCTGGACCCCACGGCCAATGGTTAGAGAATGACAGCGTGTCTCTGCTTCCTCAAGGGACCTAGATGGGCTCAGACCATTACCCATGAAGCTGGCCAGGGAGAGCCTCCTGTCAAATTGACTGGAACATAGAGAGATAAACCTGTGGTTAGTCCTTCTGTGGCACCCTGGGGCTTTGGTGGCAGAGTTAATTAATCAAGGCACCAACGTCAAAATTAAAGTGAGGAGGAAAAAAGTCAATTAGTGATTGGAGAGAAGTGAGGAGACATATTTTAATGAGGTTCCCTCTAATTTGGGCAGTTCCTTGGCGCTCCTTGCTGGGCATGGTCACTCTCCCTTTTATGAGCCTTGGAGGAGTTAGCAGGAGGGGCGGATGAGGAAATCACGTGTCTCTCTCTCTTTAATTTATACTCAGGGCCGGATGGGGAGAGAGTCCTCTGCTGTCTGCCAGGGCCCCATAAAGCTATTTATCACCACTCGGAATTCTTTTCAGCTGGCTGTTCATTTCAATTTGCAGTCACCTCTTTAGCTCCCCTTCAGCAGGCTTGGCCGAGCTCCTGAGAAGAGATGGGAGATGAGAGGAGACACAGATAGGTGAGGAAGGCTGGAGCTGGGCTCTCCTGGGATGTATCTGCCACCATTCCACCCTCCACAACCTCCTTTAACTCTATTTGCTTCTACAGGGAGACGGGGAGATTATGATGTTTCACAGGTCTTCCAAACCCTTGTCATGGTTAATAAAGGTCTGGCAGGAACAGAAGCTAGGCTGGCTTTGCAGGCTCTGGTGCTGGGATTCAGGGAGGAAGGAGGGTATAGCTGTTGCTCCAGCTGCTATGTGACACCAAGCAGCCATGAGCCAAGAGGGAGTGTTCAGACTCTGGGTCCCTGCTTCTGGCACTTACTAGGTTTACTGATCCTAGGGGTGTGTGGGGTGGGTATGTCAGCAGTGGGATTGGCAGGAGGAAGGCTTGGGCCAGAAAAGGAAGAACCAGAGCATTAGATTAGAGTCAAGAGGAACAGGAATTTCAAGGTCAAGTGACCAGAGGTTGTGCATGCACATGAGATGCATGATGGCAAAGCTTTTGGTCTGGGGTCCTCTGCATTTTCCTTTCCCTGACTTGGATGAGAATTGGGTGCAGAGATGTAGGAGGGCTTGAACTTGAAGGTGGGATGTAAGTTCAGCATTTCTTTTTATCACACACACACACAAAACACATTCACTAAAGGGAAAGCAAAGAAAAAGAAGTTTAACCTTACCTCACTACTCAGAGGTTAACCAATGTGATTATTTTCAGACTCTTTCAAAGTAAATATACTTAATGTTTTATGTTAATAATGCAATATTTATGATTCTATTTGGGAGGCATGAGTATTGGATCCTTGGAAAGGCCTAAGTCATTTGTTACATATGTGAACTAAAATCCAATTTAAACATTTTTTTTAAAGATTTATTTTTATTTATACAAGAACTGGGGTGCAGGCCAGAGGTGCAGGAGGGTGAGAGGATTCACCAGAGACAGAGTGGGGAGCAGAACAGGCAGACAGATTGAAAACAGTGCTGAGGGGAGCAGCGGGCGAGATAGGAGAGGTCTGCCGCGCTATGTGGGTATCTCCCTGGCAGGCGGGAATTGAAACTGTGCTGCAGAGGCTGTGGACATCTTCACAGCGTGGTGCTCAACCCAATGCACCACCGGGGAGGCCCTAAACATTTGTTTTATGGAGAGTAAGGAACCCTATTATATCCCACCCTATTGGTGGGAACGTAGACTGGTCCAGTCCCATGGAAAGAAGTATGGAGAGTTCTCAAAAGACTAACAATGGATTTACCATATGACCCAGCAATTTCACTCCTAGGTATCTATCAAAGAGCACACAAATACTAATTTTAAATCAAATGTGCTTTCCTATATTTATAGTAGCTCTAATTACAATAGCCAAGATATGGAAACAGGCTAAATGTCCCAGAACAGATGAATGGACCAAGAAGATGCAGCATATATGCACAATGGAA